ATTAGACATCATTATTATAGCTTTCTAATGTAATACATACTAATGTAGTACATAAGTTACATTTAAACAATTAAGCATTTTCATGTTATTTTATATCACCTACATTATCTGCACGCCTCTTAATTTTGCTTTTATAACTACAGTTTAAGCATGGGTCATTTCACAATATGGGTTCTTTACATTTGCAAGGCATAAAAGAGAATGCTTTATTGTTTTTTGATGTTGCCTCAGACTGTCCTTTAGAAATAGGCATTGCAAATAAAGCTCTATTTGACAGATGATGAATCTAAGACTGAGATATCAAGGTGATTGCCTACACCATGTAGGTGACTAGAGGAAGGCTGGTTTGTGGGGTGAGCCTTCTGATACCCATATTCTTTTTTTAAGAGCTTGCTATCATGTAGATTTATGATGCCTGCTTTTTTTAAAAACTAAGACCTCAAGCTTAAATATGAAATAATAAAGGTGTTGGGACAAAGTATTTAGTCTTGACTTTTTCAGATGTCAGTCAGTCCTTTCTCCTCACCCAAGGGAATGTTCTACATTGACACTTCTCTCCTACTGGGAATTTATATTATGCAGGAGGGCTCTCTCCACTTATGCCTGGAGAGTCTCATCTAGGATGATGGCTATCTCTCAGGGACTGCCTTATGACATCACATGAGAAAATGAGATTAAATAAATCATATTGGTAATGAGTCAATCAGCTGAGTAATCTGTTGGGTGGGACTCATTTTTATTTAATGAAATGCTCTATTTCAAGTTATAGTGAATGTGTAAGCCTATATGAAAGACCATCAATGGATCTACACGGACCTACAACCATCAATGGACCTACACTGACCTATAACATATGAGAAGAATGTGGAAAAGTCTGTTGGTCTCTTTTGTAGTAAGCAGTACACAGTGAGTAGGAGTTATATCATATTTCCCAAGCCTTGGGATAAAATGCCATCTTCCAAGTCCCTGACTGATGATTCTTTTGGCTTTTACAGAAGCCAATATGGTGGAAAGTAAAGTTCTATTCTACAGCAATCAAATCTATGTAAGGTGAAATTTTTAGGAAATAAATAATAATTTATATTATTGTATGCTTACTATGTGTCCACATGCTCAGTGAAAAATCACTAATCAGGTTATCTCATATGATCTTTAGAATAAATGTATGAGAAGCATATTATCCCTTTCTACAATAAAGTTTTTAGGTTAGGAAGACCATATACTGAGTAAATTTTTCTTATAGTGAGAGATGATTAAGAGATGCCAGAGGTCTTTGGGTAACAGTCACATGTATTTGATGGACAGTCTTTAGTTCAGCTCAAACGCTACCACATTTTTAGCTTCATAGTATCATCACATTAAACTTTTGCTTAAATTCTTGAAGAATAACACTCATTAAACCCAATATATTCTTTTAATTAGAGATATCAAAATTCAAAATAAAAAAAAACATTTGAAAGGAATCTTGAACTAAACTTAAATAATGTCTTGATTTTTTACTTAGACTGCATGTGAATTCTCTAATCTAAACCTCTGTGGATGTTCATTGTCTAATCTATAAAATTACCCTCCACAAATTCTAAGAGGGAATGGATTTAAATATCCATATTAAATTTAAATGTGTGATGGCATCTCATCTTTAAATGCTTACTGCTTTTATTATGAATAAAGAAATGAAGTTGCATAGGTGGGAAAGAGGAGTACGTTGTATGAATTAAATCAGGCAGCTGTCTTTTGACCAGGAAATCGTCTCCTTATGCTTCTCAGCATTCATTCTTGCTGGTCTGAGCTGCTTTTGAAGAGAGAGAATGGTCCTCTTTGCTAGCACAGAGGAACAGCATATCCTCCGTCCCTCCATCCCTCCCTCCCTCTCTCCCTCCCTCCCTCTCTCCCTCTCATCATTCTTCCCTCCTTTCCTCCTTTCCTGAACCCTTAAAAACCCCAGTTATCTTACATTTCTAGCAAAATGAGATATGTGTTCAATTCCAAGGCTATGCTATTTCTTCTTAACCTTGCTTTGCTGTCATTAACTCTCCAAATTTGATGTGATCCCACCAATGGAAGCTAGGCATGCTACTTACTCAGCAGCAAGCTAACCATGGCCAAGTGGACCCTTAGTCCCTTTGATAACTAAATTATTTCAGAAAGAGCTGCCAACTATACCAAGCCCAGGTTTCTATATACATGATATATCTAAATAAGCACAAGGAGAAACCTCCTTGGTGTGTGGGAGAGGCTAGAGTTGAACCTTTAGTTAACAAAATGCTAAGCCACAAAGTTCATAGTATTCCTGAAAGCAAAAGGCACCAAATGAAATCTACCCCACAGACCTTTCTCAGGCAAAGCTACTACCAACATTTACTTCCTGAAAAATGTTTGTGCTGCAGATTTCTGCTGGCCTTTCCCAGCCCTCCGTTCTTCAGTAATGAAGTTGACCCTACCAAAGCAACATCCATCACTGTCTCATGGCTTGCTGTGGATTAACACCCATTTACAGGTCAGGGAAGCTCATCCTATGATGGTTTTTTCCATTTATATTTTAAAATGTATGATTTTAATAGATTCTATGATCACAGGGTTTGTTCCTTTTGGTGAAGCTCAGTCTTGAGTAAATTAAAACTGCAAATCATGGAAACAGAAATGAAAGACCCACTAAACCCTCTCTGAGGCATGATTATTCAACCTTAGTACATTGCATTCCTGCACATCCTCAGGCTGTCAGATAGGAGGAGTTGAAGTCCCCTAAACTGTGGCAATTATGATTCATAACTGTATCACTAATCATAATTTAGGCATACATGAACATCACTGAATAAGTAATTGTCCTGGAAGGAAGAGACCCCCTTGCCAAGGAGGCAGAATAGCCTTTTGAAGTTAAGTGTAAAGATGTACAGATATAAGGCACATAATGCTGCGTCTTTGCCTACATATCTTCATAAAGTGCAAATGCATGCAGATCCTAACTAAAGCGTTTGGAATGCTAACCTACTTTTCTGTTTAGCTAATAGCTAGCAATTTTGCTTACACATTATCCCCTCATTACATAGCAATGATGATTATTTAGTAAATACATGTGAAAGGCCAGACACTCCATAGCACTTCTCCTGCAATGGAAATAACCTTCTCCTCATGTTTCTATTTGAATAATTTAGCTGCTGACATACCAAATCAAATGCAGCTATGACAGGTATCCCACTAATAACTCTTTTGGAGGCTAAGAACAGACTCCTGCTCAACTTATTCTCCTTTTGCCATTGCCTGGCAAGATTTAGGGTCTAGGCTGGGGACAAATAGGACACTTGGGGAAGTATAGACCCTCAGTTCAGGTTGCCCTCTCACCAATCTTACAGGAAATCAAATGGCTTATCTGAAAATCACATGATGCTGGAGAGAGGTCAGAAAAATTCTATTTTCTAGGTAGTAAAATATTCTGGAACAAGAGAAAGCATTAGAAATAGACATGAAGAGAAAAATGTAAAATCTGGTCTTGTGGGATGCCACCCAGTCCACGCCTGGACATAGGACTCATATAAACCCTTATAAATCACCAGGATATTTTTTCCCAGAAGATGCATGATAGAATAAGAGTGTTCCCACTGCTTTGGGGAAGAAGGAGGAATGACCCTAGACTTTCCTTGTCTGCCTTGTGAGCACAACCCGGTAAAGTATTATTGATACATGGTTCTTGGGTAGCTAAGCTCCAAACATGATTTCAGATGACAGATTCTCATTCAGGAGGAGAGGACTGAAATGAAACAGCAGTATTTGGAACTGGGTCCAGGGTAAAGGCAGAAGAATGGTTTTTAATAGCCAGAATCAGGTCTGATTTAGGGAGTGGAGACTGGCAGGGCTAAAGGAAGAGACAGGAAACCTGTCCTTCCACTTCAATGCTGCTCAAGTGTGTCTGCCCACAGGGGCAGGGTTCCTGCTCATCCACCTATGAAGACTTCCTGGGAAGTTGGCCCAGTCCCCAATTCTGCAGAGAGAATGCAGGCAGAAAGGAGAACCACAAATGGGCTACACCCAGAGTGCTTAAATAGCAGGTGCAAGGGAAATGGAGTGGGTGCTGATGAATGGGAGGAGCCATAGGACTGGGAATATCCTCACAGTTCACTCCAGTCCCCAAATTCCTGCATCAGTTTAGAAATACAACCCCTCCCAATACACAAACAAGTTGGTGCAGGCAAGCACAAGCCCTGCCTCATTCATCTGAACACTCTGGCTTCTCTCTTGAACCCCCAAAACCACAGGCTGGAGCAAGAAGCTAGCAATCAGCAACCTAGCCAAGGCATCCTTGCTGATGGGAATTAAGACTATAATACAAAGTGGTCTTTGTGACACTGTATTGTTTGAATGGTTTTTTTTTTTTTTTTTTTTTTTTTAATTGGGGATAGAGGGGGAATGTGCCACTCACTGGCTTTCAAACATTACTGTACACTCTTCAGCACTGGGGGAAGTCAGGGAAGACTTCCACATCACTCCAATCTCTGCTGGTATTCCCCAGTTGTGTCATCCCCCCCCCACCCCGTGCCTCCCACAGTGCCTTTAAAGTGCCTAGATAGATACCAGAGCAAGGTTCTGCATCCATTTCACCAGCCAGGAACCACTGTCTTTGGGAACTTTGAAAGCCAGAGGTTGTGAGTGGGGGTTGCCAAGGCTCAGATTTCGGCGCCAGAGTTCTCAGCCAGGAAAGCAGTTGAAAATCAACACCCATCTGCCTCTTCTTTCTCAGTCCCCATCCCTCTTCCTTTCCAGGATGCAACACAGAACCTACCCCCAACCGCACACCTACACACACACACACACACACACACACACACACATACCAGCGCCCTTGCACACATCTTTGAGTTTAGAAGATTTTTGATTTTGAAGACAGCAAAGCCACAGAACAGAAAAAAGGCTGTGCTTCCCGCCATATGCCCCCACACAATACAACCCCATTCCAAACATCACCGTGCAGCACAAACCCCACCAAGCAACAGCAGCACGTCCCGTACCTGATATGCAGACGATGAAATTGGCTTGAAGAAGAAAAAGCGCCTCCCAGACTATTTCCATCCTCTGATTCTCATTCCAAGTGCATCACTCGACGGGAAAACAAGGGGGAAGAGGGGGCCCGACACGGCACACACATACACACACGCACACACTCCCGAGAGAGCGCACACTCGCGCTCCCACCCGACAGCCGGTCAGGGGCAGTCACCCCCAAGATCAATATCGCAGTTTGAATTGTTCCTGCAAATATTCCCTCTGGCTTGTCGGATGTGGGCCCCAGATGTGCTGACACATGTCCAATGCCTCGCTGCCTCGGAGGTCTCCCCGCTCGCGCGTCTCCACTCCTCTCACCAGTGGTAGAAGCAGGACTTGCAGCTTCCGCGGCGGCGATGACAGCCACTTGAAGCCACCGGTGCTGAGCTCTTCCAGCAAAACCGAGACCCGGATCCTCCGGGCGCCCCAAGAAGACATAGACGATAGCCCCCCGCCGGGCCGCACGTTGTAGTTCCGGGCTCCGGTTCCCTAGCCGTCCCCTGGCTAAGCCCAGGTAGTCCGCGGCAAGTTGCCCTCGAAGTCCGCCCGGCTCATTGAGGCATGATCCGGGGATGGCTGCTGGCTCTGCTCACCGCAGTTCTTCTCCTGCTTCGGGAGGGTAGGGGGAGAGGCGCAGGCACGGCACCCAGAAAAAGAAAGAGAAGCAGGGATTATTGCCCGAAATCGCCGGCACCAGCAGCCTCTGCTGACCCTCCCTGTTTCCCACGCGCAGCCTGCCGCCTGCAAACCGATTTCAGGCGGCGCTTCCAGGACTCCTAGCCTAGGGCTAGGCTCTGGGGACTGGGGCTCGTCTGGGGCCCACTGGCTCCCCACGCTGCGCGCGCGCTTTCAGCTCCTCTGCTATTTTCCTGGGTTCCCCAGAACCCCCAGCTGCCTTGCTTCCATCGCCCGCAACTAGCGCCGCCGCCGAGATTTTCCGCAATGCAACTGCAGGGGTCGTTATTTCCTTGCCTACGGATCCCGATGCTTTCCGATTTCAGGAGGAGGAGGAGGGCAGGTGGGGGCGGGAGGAGGAGGAGGAGGAGATGCAGGAGGATCGGCCAGGTGAGTGTCCGCGCCACCGCCTGGAGTACCCACGTCAGCGGGGCGGCCCGGAACCCGGAGGCGGAGGCAAAAGTCGGTCCGGGGTGTGGCGGCGAGGCTTAACCCGGCCATAAGGAGGAGAAGGAGGCTGGGCGTCAGCGCTTCGGGCCACGGTTGCCGCAGCCTCCACCTGGGTCCCCCGCGCCAGCCTCCCCGGTCCGCCCGGCTGGCCAGCCTCCTCTCCCCTCCTGGAGCTGTGAGTTTCTTTTATCTTTAAAAAGAACTTCGTGCCTGCTGGTTCAGCAGGGAGAGCAGTGCAGGACTCATCCTGAGAGAGCACTGGCTGTGCTCTCTCCCTCTGCTTCAGAATATTGGGTATTTATTTATTTATTTATTTATTTATTTTTTGCATAATTCATTCGCTGCCCTCTCCCTTTCGTCCCTCTCCTGTCCCCTCCCGGATCCTTCTTCGCCCTTTGGGCTCCAAAAGATGCTACTTACCCCTTCCCTCTGCAGGTTCCCAGACCAGGTGCAACTCTTGCCTGAGCGTCCCTCACCTCCCTCGACCAGAAAGAGACCAAAACCTAAGTCCAGACGCTAGCTAAGTCCGGGTGCTAGCAGTGGCCAGCCGAGCCTCTATTCAGCAGTGGGATCATCCGAGACCATTGGAAACCCAGGCCTTCAGGGAAATGGGTTTCCCTTTCTGTTTTTCTTTTACTCTGTTTTTCTTTAGGGAAGGTCTAAACTGCTTTGAAGGCTTTTGCTGGGCCCCGGGATACTCGTCAGCGACCCTCAGCCGCTTCCAGAGAAGATTTCCCCAGCAAGTCCGCGCGCGCGCATGCTTGCCCAGCGCCCGGCTCTCCGCGGCCCCAGGGGAAGGAGGGGGCGGCGCGAGCACCACCCACCGCCCAGGCAGAGCCAGAGCCAAGTCCACAGAAGGTCTTGGAGTGAGGTGGACTGTCTGCAGCCAGGGAAGGACTGGTTGCAAATGTAATGCGGATGCAGGGTAAATGGGAGGAAACCCTGCACTCCGGACTGTTTACCTAAAAGGACTGGGAGAGTAGGAGGAAAGAAAAATGCAGCAGATTTGTGAGCATCTATTTTTGCAAGAATGTTTGGCGAAAGCCCCGAACCTACCTCTTTTGGGGGTGCCAGAGAAGAGGAAGGCAGGACAGAGGGAATCCCTGGAAAGAACTGGGATTTCTCCCTGTGCTTGTCCGGATTCCGAACAGTGACGCTGGGATATTTTGCATAAGCGCGGATGGACACACACAACAAACACAAACACACGTATAACCCACAGGGAATATTCTTACACTTTGAAATTTCTGACGCTTAGAAGCCATTTCATTGTAAGCCTCGGCCTAATAAGCATAGAAAGGGTAGATAAGTGGAAAGGAAGGGGGCGGAAAAAAATGATGTTTTTCATCCACACATAGATCCAGTGAACCTTTCCACAGTGCATAAGGCACCCAGACTGCGTGGCATCTAAGGGTGCGGCATGAGAGCCAAAGGAGTTATACTACCGTGCTCCCCAGATTCTTGAAAGGAGCCTAGGGAGTTCAGGGATTCTTTGTGTTTAGGAGTGGGGGTGGGGGGAACCCGAGAGAGGGAGGAGAGCAGTTGGACTGGGCTAACTGCAGGAGCCAGAGTATGCAGCTCTGCTGCCTCTGGTCTGGGAGTTCTCAAAAAGAGCCGCTGGCAGACTTGCTTACTTTTTAAGAAGGAGGTGTGGCCAAAGGATTTGTTCTCTGAGATGACAGCCAAGGACTCCGGGTGGCCAACACATTAAAATTCCAGGCTCACACTAAATAAATCCATGATTTTTTTAAAAAATAGAGAACTTCAAGACTCAGCAGGAAAGACGTTGAGATTTGAGAATATTAAAAGAATCAGAGATAGTGAGAATTAGACCATTTGGGATACATATTGGGGAGTGTTCGTCTTCGTGCCTTGAAGTATACTGCGTGAAAAGACATTGAGTGAAGGAAGAAAGCAATTTGCCAAACAGGAACAGATCATGCTCAGGGAGAGTTCAGAACCGTGGATAGCAACTTACCTTGGAAGCTGATTTTTCTGTTAGCAGGAGAGCTCTCATGGAAGGACCAACAGGGTGCCTGGACTTTTATATCACAACACATTCATTTATTACTATTTTACTGACATTGGTGTGAAGGAAAAATGTAGAGGATGAATAGTTTGTAAGCCTTCACACCAATGTCAGTAAAATAGTAATTTTTTTCTCTTTGTTTCCTGTCTAAATTCTTGCCTTCATCACTGAAAAATGTAATTTATCTTCAGTCAAAAAGTTCTTTCAAACAGAAAACTTCATGAGAGTATGTTAAAAAGTAAATGTATGTGTAATTGATTTCTATGGACCAAACATTGCCCAATCCCTAACATTAATGATCTCATTTAGTCATCATCATCATCCCGTCTTTGTCCATTTATATTTATGCTGCTGCCACAAAATAACACCCCCTGAGTCATTTGCAAACAATTTCTTACAATTCTAGAGGCTGAGGGAATCCCAAAATCGAGATACCTGCATTCTGCATTTGGTGGGAGACTTTTTTCTATGTCTTTGTATAGCAGAAGATGGGAAAAACTCTAATATAGATACCCTCAACTTTTTTACAGGGATAAATCCTTCCATTCATGAAGGTAGATGTCTTATGACTTAAACACTGCTCTCAAGGCCTGTCTATCATTATAGCACAATGAGGCTTAAGATTAATATGAATATTAGAGGGGACACATTTAAACAACTGGAGCAGATTCCTGTGACATAAATATTATTAACGTAAAACAAGCTCAGTGTACTTGTTTCATGTCTCACATCCTAACTCGTGGTGCAGCTGGACATTCCAAATTTAGGAGTCATTCCACACCTCTATCCCACACGCTTTGTAAAATAAAAATACCACTTTGAGGGAGTTATTGGGTACTTAGAAAGAGTATAGGTGTTCACATGATGCATCTTGAGTCAGTCAAAGGCAGGAGAAAAATGTACTGATAGATTACAAAGTTTACAAACCATCTACCTTAGAACTGGGAGAGATCAATGGTTACTGGAAATTCGGAATGGCCAAACCTAAGTATTTCTAGTAAAGAATCTAAAGGCCAATTCTATCATACTTGGAATTTAATGGTGAATGCAACAGATCCTCACAAGAATTTTTTCATATTAGCATTTTCTAGATGAAATAACAGTTTCTTGAGTGATTCCTAGATTTAATTTATGTTTTTACTATAAAATCTTCTCATTTAATCCAAATAACTGAGTTTAAAAAATTAAGTAGTAATCTTCAAATTAGTACACAATATGCTTATGTTTTTACTGAAAAAATACAGTGAAATTAAAAATATTTATCTTTAGTATTATCTAAATATTTGAATGAGTTTCGGCTCATATCTTGATGTCTCCAAAAGTCTCTCTCCCACATACCAACGTTTCGTCCTATCTCCTTCCTCTTGCTTTACATTTATCCACTACAAACTCAGTGTGATCGTCGCATTGTGAAGAGTGTCGATGAAGCTCAAGTGAGGTACGACATCGGTTGCCTCATAGAATGCAGGGCAAATAGACTTCCACTACCCAGGACATAACATTAAATTCATTTGGGTTTTTCTTTTAACTTCTGTTTTATTTAACTCTGCCCCAAGAAAGGAGTGGCTAATATGATGGATAAAAATTTTAAGAACTTAACACTTATTAGGTCGTATTTCTCATAAGCATTGTACATGGTGCTAGAAGATAAAGATCCTGCTTGTTTTTCTACTCGCATCAGGTTACCCTGCATTCAAGCACAGTGAGCTCGCTATTTCAGTCTTCTTTCCTTTCTTTCTTTCTTTCTTTCTTTCTTTCTTTCTTTCTTTCTTTCTTTCTTTCTT